TCTTCTATTCTAAAAAAATATAGAGCAGCATAAATTATAAATCTTGTTACGCAAAACAAATAGGCCATATTCCACCGTTGCCTCAAAATTCTTTATAAATTATTTTGTGACCTACAGGTCAGACAACCTAATGCTTTGTTATACGGTCAGTATGTCTTAAATGATCATCAACAAACTCCGGACTGTTCATCAAATGGCATCTTGTCTTATTACCAAAAACAACCCCTTCATTTAAACACATTAAAATAGAGAAAAACAGAATCCCCAAAACGTTGTATAGAATCTCCATTGTTTTACCTATTGAAAATCGAATACAGTAGGGACAAACTCCAGTATACATTAAGAACAAGCTACAGAAGAATGTTCACAAAACTAAAACTTAAAAGTCTCAAATTAATATTACAATATAAGTAATTCCGATATGTAAACAATATGAGTTTTGTTACCGCAGTCTCACTTCGTTCATTAGAAATATGTGACTATTTAAGATGGCGGTCTGTTTCATGATATTATTATAAATCACGTTGAAAAGAATTTAAGAGTGTGTTTATATGCAAATAGTTTTACATAGTCATATCTAGATTTGTATAATTGTTGAAATTTCATTTAATGTCGAGTTTTCCTTTTTAATGTTTATAACTATGATATAAATTTGTTGATTTTAACGCATTTGAACATGTTATATATATCAGAAAGGCACTTAATAAATTTGGTGTAATGATAGATTTTGCTTTTGTTTTCGACCGTTTTTTAACAGTTATAAAAAAATATGTGTTTGTAAACCTTTGCGGGCGTTTTTTGTTCCACACACACAAAGAAGTATGTAAATTGTCGACACGTAGTAATAAACTATAACTGATATACAGGTAAGCATTCAAATAAAATCTCAAAGACATTGGTAATCATATCAACTGTTACAGTTTCGTTATTTTCTCATCATCTATAAATATAAATAAATCATGTGGAATAACCCGCGGCTGAACGTATCCAAAATTCATATTAGCTTTCTTTTTTAAATAAGTCATTATAAAAGTGCAGTCTTAAAACCATAATTTCAATGTAATTGGAGATGAGGAAAAACAGCATTTCTTAAATTGTCCGGTAGCATGTAATGCACATGAACACTAGTATGTTCCAAATTAAGATTAAGTTCAGGACGTATTTGAATTTGGAATCAGGATGAACATATGACTTTGATTTCTTTATTTTACAAATAATTTAACTGTTTTCTTTATTTGAATAATCCAAATTTCACTTTCTTTATAGACTTTGTAATTCTGATTTGCCTTAAAAGATGACCAACTTTATAGACTTTGTAATTCTGATTTGCCTTAAAAGATGACCAGAAGGTGTCAATATTATGAAATAATGCACGGAGGGAAACATATTAAGGTCTTCCTCAGTAAAGCAGGAAAGTCGCCACAAAGCCTTTAAAAGTGTTGATGTGACAGAAATTTTATTTTGTTGTTGTTTTTTGCACAAACCGGATTATTGTATATCTTAGTCACAGAAGTTAAAAATAGAACTGACAATGCGTAATGTTTTCAAATATTCCCAGAAATAAATAAAAAGATCTTGAGCTTTTATATGTATGGCTTTTTAAGATGGGACTAAACCAACATTGTTAATCGCCTTCCACGTAGCGGAAAGGGGATTATAGCAATGGACACCGTCTGTCAGTCCGTCCGTCCGTAACACTTTCGTGTCCGCTCCATAACTTTCAAACCCCTGAAATTTTTTTGAAATAACTTGGCACAAGTGATCACCATAATGAGACAATATGCAGAGCGCAATAATTGCGTTGCTATCCCCAAGGTCAAGGTCACACTTTAAGGTCAAATGTTAAAAGTCTTCATTCAATAATAAAAAAGTCTACATTTCGTGTCCGTCTATAACTTTTTTAACGCTGTTAAGTTTTGAAATAATTTGACACAACGGATCACCATTATGACACGACGTGCAGTGTGCAATAATTTGGTTGTTACACAAAAGGTCAAGGTCACACTTTAAGGTCAAATGTTAAAAAGCCTAGATTTCGTGTCCGCTCCAACATTTTAACCGCTGAAATTAAAAAAATATCTTGGCACAATTGATAACCAGTATAAGAACATGTGCAGAACGCAAACATTGGGTTGCTACACCAAAGGTCAAGGTCAAATGTATAAAAATCTACATTTCGTGTCCCCTCTATTACTTTTAAACCCATGAAATTTTGTTTAAATAGCTTGGCACAATTGATCACCATTATGAGACGATGTGCAGATCGCAATAATTGAATTGCTACCCAAAAGGTCAGGGTCACACTTACAGTTCATATGTTAGAAAGTCTGCATTTCGCATCAGTCTCTAACTTTTAAACCTCTGAAGTGTTTTAAGATAAATTGGCAGCAATGATCAACATTACGACACCATTGGCAGAGCACAATAAGCAAATCACAACCCTGAAGGTCAGGGTCACACTCAACGGTCCAATGTAAAAACTTTTTTTTTCATGTCCGCTATAACTTATTGACAATTCAAAGGTTTTAAAAATACTTAGCACAAATGATCCCCACCACGACACAATATACAGACCTCAACATCCAGGTCGCTGCAACCAATGTCAAGGTTATATGTTCTCCATAACTTTTTGACTTTATGGAAGATTTTAAATAACTTGGCACAAATAATCTAGACTATTTGCTTATGATATCCATGACACAACATCAAGGTCATGGTTGGTAAAAGGTCAAGAAGTACACATTCATGTTTCTTGCGAGCCCCGGAGTAAACTTTCTTTACACAGTGTAAATATAGGAAAAACATGAAAATATTCTTCTCCATAACTGCAGGACCTAGTATAGAATACTATTAAATTTGTTAAATCACGACCTTGTGGTCAAATTCATTTATGCCAGGGGTCACTTCAATTTAAATATAGGAAAAGCTAAAAAAAAATATAACTTCTCCCAAACCGATGCCTATAGCTAATTATTTCTGTTGTAGCCTTGTATAGACCAGTACAAAATTTATTCAAATGAAAATTTAACCCACCCCTAGGGTCAACTTATTTCATATGGAGACACATAGGAAAACTTTTTAAAATCATATTTTTTTCCAAAACCAAATGCCCAGATCTTAGATTTTGGGTTAAAAGCATTGTCAAAAAAAACGTAATTTATTTTTCAAATCTTGACAATCTGGTCAAAGTTGACCTTACCCAACGTAACATACAGATTTAGTGTGATTCAGAGACTTTCATTTTGTTACGATATTTACAGTCATTCTGTGATTTTTCATTTTGTAGTGTAGCATATTTGTTTTGTTATTTTCTCTATTTTCTCATCGATGAAATTCTAGGTAGTAAGAATGATACATGTATGTTGAATTTTGTATGGTCCAAAGTTGAACAAAATCTGTTCACAAATAACCAATTTATATAGAAAAATGTAAGTGTCGGGTTATTAATGCCTCTGAGTGTAAGTATGCATAGAGCTTAGATATTTTACATGTAGACTTTCTTTGTGAGCCTCTACAAAACTGGTATTAATTTTTAACCATGCCCGTTGTATCAATATATAATGCCCACCAAGGGGTCACTTAATTTATATAGACTTACACTATAGAAAAACAATTAAGTCTTATTGTGTGAAAAATACAATGCCCAGAGCTTTGATATTTTTGCATGTAACATGACCTTGTAAACCTCTGTAAAACTGATAGTAATCATACCCCTGGGGTCAATATTGGCCCGCCAGGGTCACTTGATTTATTTGGACTTATGTTTTACTGTGTGAAACAGCAAAGTCCAGAGGATAGATATTTGGCATGTAGCGTCAATTTGCAGTTTTCTATATGACCCTTAGGCCAAAATTGACCCTACTACGGGTATCATTTGTAGACTAATTCATAGGAAAACACATCTGACCTGTTTGTGACCAGAGCTTCTATATATGGCACAAAACATTGCCAAAAAAGACCTCTGTAAAAGTTTCATAAAGCATGCGTCATAAGGAAAATTATGATAAAACATTTTCCAGACAAGTTTTTTAATTGGAACTTTTCGCTAATAAAATATTAGTTTTGAATACTCTAACATATTTATATTCGGGCGTATATTGCCCTCACCTTTGCGATACTCTTGTTTTGTCATTTTTTATCTCTACTTGTTGTTTTGGAAGGTTGAGTGGGTGCTGCTCTCAAACATTAAATGAGCCGCATCATGACAAATCAACACAGTGCGTTTGCGACAAGCATGGATCCAGACCAGCCTGCGCATCCGCGAAGTCTGATCAGGATCCATGCTGTTCGCTTTCCGGTCCTCCACTTGCTATAAGGTTTGTAAGCGAACAGCATGGATCCTGATCAGACTGCTTACTTTTACTTTTACCGAATTTACCATTCAAAAGATATTTTTTATAGAGTGAGTATCATTGATTTTCGTATTAATGATTCTGTCACTTTCATGACTGAGCCAGACGAGCCCTTCCTAGAAATTGTGTCTAAACTATTTGCTTGAATCTGAAAACCAAAACAAACTAACTTGGTATACACTCGTCCTTCAGGGCACTGAGGATATTCGTGTCCGCAGTGACAACCGCTCTACCAGTGCTTTCAGTGTTTTGATAATATTTAACATGAACAAGCCACGTCATAATTCGAAGGCCTCCCCCTTTATCTATTATTCTCATCTGAGAATTGACCTAAAGGGTCAAGAGGTTCCAGCAATCTACGTCATGTGAAATGGTACGTTTCACCATGAAAAAAATGTTTAACAGCTTTTTTTCTTCGGCTGCATGCTAAAAATGTTATGCGACTTCTTTCGTATTGATTCTGAGAATGTACCGATCTTATAATGCTTTATCCGTTTAGCAAAATTAATGCGCATGCACCATTCGTTCTGAGGGAAATATACTTATTTATTTCTTAAATACAGATAAGTTTGTTGTCAAAAGCAGGGCTTTCAAAATATAAACAAATCTTTTTGCATTATATATAGCTTTATACACTTTTGAAATAAGAAATATGCATTCACATATTGTAAAAATTCACTTTTGAAGCAAGAGGTGAATGGTCTGAACGTGTGGACAACGTGTGTGTTTGTAGTAGGTGTAATAGCTGGGTCAGGATTTCTCACCTTACCTAAAGCAATTGAAGATTCTAGTAAGGCATTCCATAAGTTACATTGCATATATTAAAATATCTACTAGTTTTAAACCATTTGCATGCTGTTGTCTGCTGAAATGTGACTATGTCGTCTGCTTTATGTTAAAGGTTTAGCCAATTTTTTTTTCAAAAGGAATGTAGTTCAAAGGTTAAATAACACGTAGCCAGACCAAACCTCGAAGCAAGCTAAGGTTTACCAGTGATCATTCATACAAACTTTTATGACAGATTATAATAGCTTTCTTAACTGCATTCAAATTTACGAAGGTGTTTTACCAAATGTCGCCTAATGATTTTTTCCAGGGTTGATAGGCTTTCTTCTGGTCGTTTTGTGTTGTTTCGTTTCCGCGTATACAGGGGACATTTTAGGCAAGTGCTGGACTATTGTTAGGGACAGACATCCAGAATTTAGGAACGGAAAGGTTCGATATCCGTACCCTGCTATAGGCGAGGAAGCGTTCGGTAAATGGGGCAGGTATCACGTGATTAATTTTCTCATCGTACGGTTTATAATTTCACAATCATCCGTGATTATTTTTTTTTAGATACCAAATAATTTCTATTATATTTGAATAGCCGTATCTGTGAGTCTAATTGTTAAGGTTGCTCCCTGAAGCGTTTGTCGGTGTGGGTTTGAAACACCGTGGATGAGAGGAAGTTTTCCAGCCAACCTGAGAAAAGTCGGCGGTTCTACTAATATATAAATAGTCTGTTCAAGTGGGGGCACTCAAGTTACTTTTCCACCTGTATATAGCGCAAGAAGATCACCATATTATAACATTTACAGTATCGGACTTAGTTATTCCACTCTTGAATTAAACAATATAATTGATCAATACTATGATACAGAATCTGCCAATAAATAGTTTTATCATAAGATGTAAACGATACCTCTGACGTAATGGAATTGCTTTGGATTTTGGCGATAGTAGAATATTAAAGAATTATGTACATATATAACACGTGTCAAAGTCAAAAGTGTTTTCATTTTTCTTCCAGTGCCGTCATATCGTGCTCCATTAACTTTACAATGTTTGGCACAACCGTCGTTTACATTCTGCTCGCTGCCGGTAACATTGTTGAGCTTCTTCCAGCAGACAGCAAGTGGACTTGTTGTTATATTTCACTCATCATATGGGGTGTCATGACACCGTTTACCTGGCTAGGTACACCGAAGGATTTCTGGTAATTATCAAAATAGTTAAATACTGCCAAATTTAGTTACAAATGTATGAGAGGGGTATTTTAATTAGTGGCAACGACTGCGCGTTTTTATAAATAAGTCATACCTGTGAAAAATTATTACTAGAGTCCATCAAAAATATTTACCATTGACCTCTACATACTTTCAAGCCTTAGATTCCATTCCAAAAAAAAACAACCCCCCCCCCCAATTTTGAACTGTTCTTTGGGTAAACTTCCGACGGCAGTACGGGTTTCAAACCGGTGACCGCGAAGGCAAGATTTGATGTATTGATTTAATCAAAAGTTACAAGGAGAGAGGCCATGACTATAAGCGGGATGTAGCAAAACATAAATTCTCTACTCCTCTAAATAAGTTTATACCCAGGCTGACCGGTGCAGTTATTTGACCCTGCGCACCCCGGACCTTGGGTTTTTTGAAATGTAGTGATTAACTACAGCAGTGAGAACATGGTCGAGGTAAAATGCCCCTCTCAGGCACAGCGACACGGCCACTATTCCATCACGGTCAAAAATAAAGCGTACATAACTCTTTAAACGCTCCTGCTACGTTGAGCAATAACTGGGCGATTGCTGTTTTCACCTTCCCACATTTTGTTATTGAGTTTATTGTGGGGCTAAAAAAATAAAATTTAGCAAATGCGGGATCAAGCGGGCGTACCCTTAACTTTTCATGCAAGATGGAAAACACATATGACGCACTAAGGCCAAATATGTCACTCACCATATGTCTTGCATCTTCATCAACTATGGCTTTGACAGTGCTGATGTCTTTTTCAGAGGTAGGGAACATTGGCCGCCCACAGCGGGATCATCCTTGACATTAGTTCTACCTTTCTTAAACATTGACACCCACCTGGCAATTGTTCGATATGGAAGGGCTTTTCTTCACAAACTAAATCTGTATCCGTTCCGTTTTTATTTCTGACGAACATTTACCCAATAATCTACGAGTTTTGCAATAAGGTATTTGCTTCTCTCTCAAATCACAATGCAACTCAGCCATGTTTACCACCAGTATACCAAATCATATGTATTTATGGCCTGCTAAAATTTAATTACACGTGCAAATCGTGCGAAAATAGACTGTTGGTTAGAAAAATCAATAATCTTTCCAGCACTATATTATATTGAATTGCTGCCACTATTAAAATATACCACTCGTATGTAAAAACGAAAATGATGACTGAATTCATCAGAGGTCTTCTAAAAAAGACGTTAAAAGAATCATAGATCACATTTTAAGACATAGTAGATCTATATGTTTTGTATTTAAAACATTATGTAGCCTACGCCTAACAGTACAAATATCAATAAACAGCATATTCTCCAAAATGCTAATTCCCTTAGTTTTGCAGAATAAATACAGTAAAACGTCTATAAACCGAACCCTGCCTGGACCTAACAAAGTGACCGGTTTTCAGAGGATTGCAGTTTTCAGAGGTTTTATAGAGACATTCATGATTGATCATTAGGACGTTATTCTACATGGATTATGTTTAAATCACATGGATTTTATAATGATAGAAGATTACAAGAGTGAGTTTGTCTGTTTGATTGCATGTTATTGTTGATTTTGTGAAGTTGTGTTTTCACTCTAAACGCCCATCTTTACCGGTGTGCAAGTGTACTCAATCAGTTTGAGCTATACAGCCAATTCAAAAAGCGCACTATTGCAATATTCCAAACGTCTATATAGATGGATTTTTTTATTTCTTTTGAAAATATACTTGTTACAATATTTCTGTTAAAGGGGTATTGCTGCAGGCGCAACGCTGGCAACGACAACCGCCAGCTTTATATTGTTTGGAGTAGTGATAAACTATAGTAAAGAAATTGACGTCAGTGACGTAAAGCACACTCATGTTGACGTCATATCGTTCTTCACAGCTTA